GAGGGAGGGAGGGAGACTTTTGGCTTTAAGCAAGGAAAGTAGCAGAAGTCTTTCTTTCTCTCCCCCAAACTCCGCCAGAATGGTGCAGCCTCTTGGTGCAGGATGCCTTGCAGGGTCCAAAAGACTAATTTCTGGGGGAGTTTGGGGGAGAGAAAGAAAGACGTTTGCTGCTTTCCTTGAGTGCAGCCAAAAGCAGAAGAAAGAAGGGGAAAGAAGCAGGCCGGTGGCCAGGTGAGGCGCAAGGGGTGATTGGGGAAAGTTCCCCTCCTCTGCCCTTTGCCCCTCCCCTCACTACCTCATGTTGTTAGCAATGCAAGCGATGCAAGCCTTGTGTTCCCATGGGCCATGTGGGTGGCTCAGCCTTGTTTTTCCACACAACCTGGATTAATTGCTTTGGGGGGTGGGGTGCTTTAGGGGTAACATTTCTCTGTGGATCACCAAAGTTTTCTCGCGAACCACCAATGGTCCCCGGCCCACTGGTTGGCAACCACTGCTTTAATATATGTATCTTTTTCCTATTTGTATAGCCAACTGTTTCTTTCATGTTCATATACCGCCAACTGATTCCTATAGCAACTATACAAGATAAAAATAGAACTAAGATGAAATAAAGGCTAATACTAAGTTACTTACCAAGCAGCTGGTTTATTTCTGAAGGCAGATGGTGAACGGGTTCTTCTTTTACCAGATGAAGGATTAGTTGATGAGAGTCCTCTTTCCTTTCCTTTTCTGCTACTCTAATATTGAACAAATAGGACAAATGAGGCATTTTGCATAGCCACAGAAAGAAAGCCACCTTATTAAATGCACCTAGAAATAAAGATTTGCTATTGCAAATTACTGCTATACAAATGTTAATTATCCTTCAGTTTCAAAAGAGGATAAAAGATTGGACTCATGATATGTAATTTTTGTTTTTGTTTTAATTTGCATTTTGTGACTATAGTGTTCCGTATCTTCTGATTATTTGGATTGAACCCTTATTTTAAGCCATTCCATTTTTGTTTGTTTGCAATTTGATTTGTAAATCCCACCATTATGGTTTATGAATCATTATTTATGGCCTAGCACTATCCATGAATGCAGAGATTTTGACTAATTGAATAAACAATGTCTTGCACAATCTGGTAATGCTTTGCTTAACCATGAGTTATCCTCACAGACACTGTGAAAAGCTACCATTCCCAAACCATAATGGATGATTCAAGCAATTCAATACATCAGTTCCAAACACATTGCCTTTGAGTTCAGTGAAATGTGTTTCTGATTTGCCCTATATTTAACCTAGCCCTGTAAACATTTTTACAGTTTTCAAGAAAAAGAATGATCCTTTTTGATTGCAGTTTATATCAACTCCACCTGGTAAGCTCTACCAAGAAATGAAATAGTGGATAAAATTACTTTTATTGACATTAGCTATAATAATAGAATCTGGCACATCTGATTGTGCTGTACCTCATCCCTCCTTAAACTTCAGTGAATTAGGAAGTCCCTGTCTGAGTCACTTATGAGCACTATATGAAACATATTTCACCCCTCAAGTATCTTGCAAATCTCTATCAAGACCATTTTTCTTACTCTATAGTTTATAACACATTTTAAAAGGTCAACTTAAAAACAAGAGGAACTGCCTCGTACTCAGCCTAGCTCCAGCAGCATCCAGAACTATGGGTTATCCGACACATAGTTGTCGTATTGTCACTCTATGGCCCAGGCACATTTTGCCAACTGTCATCTTACATCTTTTTGACTACCATTTCATGGACACCGCTTAAATCAACTCTCTTGATTTCAAGCTTGAGCCTTTTACAGATGATGATGATGGGATTTAGTGTCTGAGCACTTCTGTGCACAAAGCATATAACTTGCAATGCTTTATGCTTCCCTTAAGATCTATCAATTATATAAACTTTGTATCTGGAAATGTCTTCCTAATCTTTTCGTTCATTTTTAAACACAAGCTGTTAATTCAAAATGTAAAGCTAATGAATCAACCCATGTTCCCATTCTCGTGAAATTTTCACAAACAATAGGCAGTTTACTAGGTGAAAAATCCTTTTAGATCACAAAAACTTTGCTAATAAACCAGAATCATTATGGTAGTTTAACGCACACATCTTAATGTGCAAATAGTATGATTTCATGTCCACATTTTTCCTCTGTATTAATTATTTTCCTATGATAAGGAAAAGAACCTAGGTATTCAGGATTTCATCAAAGGTGCAAGCTTATTCCCAATTTGGGAACTTACCCCGGCTGAATGTGTGGTCCTTCGCCGTCTAACCTCAGGGGCTGTGCCAAACAGTTTTGCTCGGTCTGCTGGACTTTGGCAACTTACGGCCTTGAAGGAGAGAGGGCTGATTGGGCTGCAAGATGCTGAACGAGGACAAATGGGGATAACTAGGGTATTTATTTTTTTTCCCATATATAAATTTAACCAAACACATAGAAGGAAACCCAAGAGACAGGAGCAGGAACCAGAAGCAGGAACCAGAGATAAAGAAAGAAAAAACGAAAGAAGGAAAGTATTACTATACAAACAGAGAAAAAGCAGAATGCTTAGAACTATCCTGGGATTATCTACAAATTAGAGGCCTGAAATTACATTTCTTCCTATTTAAAGCAGAAATATGGTCTACCAAAATACAGAATTGTACAAAGGTCTACCTAAGAATAAATCCCATAAGGGTATTTATTCCCAGAACTGCAGGATTAAAATACTTATGCCTCCATTTATGCCATCCAAAACAGCTCTCTGGTACAATAGATTCAATTCTTATTCTATTAGGTCTAATCTAATTCTTCTTTTATATGAATAATTAAGTTGAAAGCAACTAGAATGTCCTACATTAATTCTGTTGCTTCAGCTATGAAAGTACTCGTTTCCTAAAGGACCATTAAGACATATTAATTTTATTCATTCAATTTATATAAAAATGTAACTTTTGTCAAATCTGTCTGAGTTAAATTCATATAAACATGGTACTTCTTCTTTGTTAAACTACATATATGAGAAATTGAGGCATACTTAAATCGGAATCTGATTATGAAATAATAGGTATCATGTTGGGAACTATAAAGTAATTTTGATTTACTGAAAGTTCTGTTTTACTCAATCAGTAATTTTAGATGTTAATACCTAATTATATCTAAAAAACATGTTCATAGAATGGTCAATTTAATATATAAGTAGGACAGGTATGGTTGCAAGATTTCTCTAAAACATGATGGGGAGCTTGTTAATGGAGGCAGGCACCCTTTGCTGTTGAAATTAGATAATTTTCTACTGAGATTTACAGAAAAAAAGCAAGAAGAGCTCGAAAAATGGAAGGAGAGAAAATAATGCAGACTATTCCTTGAATCAAGATTCAGACAACAGCCAAGCCAACCCAAAATTTTCCAAAGCAAAATTTAAAAGACTGCATACTTTGAAAATGATATAACCGAGGAGGGAATTGATTGACTTTTTACTTTTACCTGCATCTCCAGATAAAGTTGCTGCACTTTTACTCCTAGCCAAGAATGAATGAGTTGGGGTCAGAAGCCTGCTAACCATGTTGCTTTCCCATGGACTTAGCTGCATACGTCGAGCTGAATGCCATCATATAAGTGAGAAGTTAGTTCAAATGTCTTTCACAGAGAATCACATTACAGTTCTGGATTAAACTCTGACCTCATTACACATAAGTGTTTATTAAGAACATTGGAAAGACAACTGATCATTAATTCATTCATTCATCTTGCCTTTCCATTTCAGCAATTATTTCCAAAAATACTTGCAAGAAATTTGACATCACATGTTACAGAAACCTAATAAATTGGGCCTAATAAAAAAATATGAACATTGAAAGAACAACAGTACAATGTTAATTATTATTCACACAAAAAGAAAGTGCTCCCAAATACATTTCCTATAATTAACCACAACCATAAAGAAATCATTTACTGTGAGCTTCTTCAGCAGCTCTAAAGGCAGCAGATTAAGCCCAGATGTGTTACACTGCATCTAATTATGTGCAGAAAATGAAACCATGGAGAAGAGTGGAAGTTGCCTGCCTCCGAGGCAGAGGAGATGCAGACTTTTCCTTTATTTCTTGCTACAAGTGGGAGAACACAGCCTGCCATGGATTTGCTGTTTGTTAAAGAATTTCATGGTGCTCATGAACCCCCCCCCCCACTATTTTTGATATGGCATCATCCCTAAAATCAGTTTAAGTCTACATCCAACATGTTTATTTGCAAGAAGTACCAAAAACTGAACGTGTTCAAACTTACCATGAAAATAATTCTAAGTTATTACGTATCAAAACAAATATCTCTTTATATTAAACATGAAAACATTTTGTTAATTGTGTGCACAATTTACATATCTTTCACCAAGAGGAGTAGATCCTCCCAAAGGAAAGGCAAAGTTCAATCCTGGATGTATCATCAGGTATTTCAAACTGGATTTCTTCGAGGACTGGATCAGCATTGTAGTTCTCCTCTGCGGGCTGGGGTGGGGGGTAGGGGGGGCGGACGGACGCCTCCTGCAGCATCCTGCCGGCCAAAACGGGGCACACAGCCTCCCTGCACCTCATTTTCACCCCCCATGGTCTCCTGCAACACTCTGCTGGCCAAAAACAGGCCGCGTGGCCTATTTTTCACCCATTTTGGGCCGTTTTCAGCGCGTTTTTGGCCTGTTTTGGGCCCGGTTTTGGCCAGCAGAGTGCTGCAGGAGGCCATGGAGGGTGAAAACAAGGTGCGGGGAGACTGCACACAGCCCATTTTATCCTCCGGAGGACTGCGGGCCAGTCCCTTGATATTTCCAAGCTGGCCCCATGGGCCAGATTTAAGCACTCCACAGGCCTGATTTGGTGCACGGGCTGAGTTTGACCCTCCTGTTTTACATTAATCTGAACATCCTTTATGTGTGTATTTGTGTGTGTGTGTGTGTGTGTGTGTGTGTATGAAAAGATAATAAATCATTATCCCATGTAATGATATAATGCATTTATAAAAAATGTTCTATAACGAATTACTATAAAATAGCTTTTACAGTTAATAGAAACATATTCAGGCAAAGTATATCAAATTCAAAATGTATTAAGAATGACTCCATTAAGCACATTATTGGTCATTAAATGTGTATCTTTAACCAATGTAGATAAGGAAGCATGAAGACAAATACTATAGCAAAATCCTAAGGCATACCATTGGAATTATTATTTCTCCTCTCTGACTGATATAATTAATGGACATCTAAGATTATATTTATTGCTACTTCAGTTACACACATTAAATTCAATAAACTGTTCTCTAGCAATGAGAAGAGAATAACAAGGACCAAATGAGTGATGGAGCATGACAACACTATCTCTTCTTCCTTCTGGGAGCACTCTGAAATTTAAGATAATAACTACACATCAGATAGCCAGTTTGATGCAGTGGTTAAGGGATCAGGCTAGAAACTGGGAGACCATGAGTTCTAGCCCAATCTTATACACAAAGCCAACTGCATCACCTTAGCCCAGTCATTCTCTCATAGCCCTAGGAAGTAGGCAATAGCAAACCACTAATAAAATCTTACCAAAAAACCCAACAAACCCACCCAGTCTATAGGCATTTGTCCAGGCAGTGACCAGGAGTCAACACTGATTCAAGGTCTATGGAGATTCTCACTCATCCAGGTCACTGTTGTCCCAAAGGTGCTTTTTCAAGAAGCAACTAGACTTTCTGTTTTTTCTTAATTTCATTCCATGTTTTAATAAGGAAAAGGGAAGATTTTGCTGGTCTGAAGTTACTTCATTATGGAGAGCTAGTTCTACTCCAACAGTAGCATCAAGTCTGCCATACAATCTCAGCCGTTTGGTCTGTGTGTGCCCTTGAATCCCGAAGGCGCTTTTTCAAGAGCTCTGAAGAAGCATCTTGGATGAGAAGCAAAACATCTTCAAAGAAAACCCAGAAAATCCAGTTGTCCCTTGGAAGAGCATATTTGGGCATAATGACTCAAGGGCACACACATACACACAAACCAAACGGCTGAAGTTATATGGCAGTTTTTAGGCTGTAATACTGCAATACTGCATTCTAACTACCAGGATTCATAAGTAACACAAATTTGCATTTCATAATCATAAAAACATAAATTTACCTTTCACCTTATCCCTAAAAGTATGGTCCCTGACTACAGTACAAAATGGTTGTCCTCCTTTGTTTTAATATGAAAGCGGAAACATTGCGTTTGGTTTTTGAGAAGGAGAATAAATTACTTATCTGATATGTAGTATTTTATTGTCAGTGAGACAATATTTCAAAGCTAATAGAATTGTCAGTTTGACAATTATAAATACATAGACATGTACTTATTTCCATATGTGGAGAAAAACACATAATTCACTAACATAAACAATCATATGGCAATAAAGATTATCCCATGCACATAATCTAGTTGACAATATGCCTCATTCAATTCAGTGAAATTTTCTGTCAGACATATGTACATTTACCAAATGGATGAGACTTTCCAAAAAGTTTCACACTATAATGGAAAACCTAAATAATTTTGGTTTAATATATATATATATCCAGTCCTTCAGACATTTTGATTACCACTGAGCAGCTTTTAAAAATTCCTCTCTATATCCAATAAAAAGTAAGAACAATGAAAAGAATACTTGCTTTCTTTTTAAACAATATAGTTCAGAATAATCTCTCTGGGAAGACATGTAAGCATGTCAAGATATGAAGCCAATAGGAAGATTGAATACCCAGTTTCTTAGCCAAGGAATTATCAAACTGACTAACCAGAGTGAGATTCAAGAGCACTTTTTAATGGAAAAAATGTAGGGGGGAATAATCAAATGAATATGATCTAATCCAATGATGATGCACAAAAATTAAAATATATTCCATGCACAATGGAGAAATGAGCAGATGCTCTATAACTTTTCTTTTAAAAAAATCATTTACTAAAAAACCTGACAGAAGCACTGCTTTATGCATTTGTGGTATTTTTTTTCCTGTTCAAAAGATGGCTTTTTGTCCAAAGCCACATTTTGTTTCCTCTAATAATATAAAGGAAATTACTTAAGAGCTGCTCAAATTTTTCAAAACAATTATCATACGGAACATTTTTTTTGATCCTTTGTTTTCCACTTTTCTTCCAAACTGTACCTCTGTCTGGAGAATTTAGTAATGTTGCAGATGAGGAGGAGAGCCGCTTGTTAATGACTGGATCAACATGTTTCGAAAGGTTCATTGTTGAAACAGATCGCCTGTCTGGATCTAAAACAAATGGAAATAATGCTAATTGACAGCCCGCATGCAATAATGTGACTTTGTAGTCCTCCAGAGCATAAATGGGAAGATTTGTTTTCTTATGCTTTGTGAGGATATATCAAGGGATTGGTTTTTTTAGGTGACTCAAAGATTGGGCACAAAATGGAATCCTATAGTTATCCTGCAATAAGTCCAATTGAGGGTTTACTGTTTAGAAGATAAATATAGGATTGCACATTTAATTTCAAATTGCAGCCAAACTCCTAATAAAACAGCAATGTTCTCTTTAATGAAACAAATGCAAATGAAGAATAAGAAATAAAGCAATGAGATTTAAAAGGGTTATTTCATTCATTGTACGGACATTCAAGATAATGCAGTAAACCTGAGGGAAATGAGAAATGAAATGAGTAGTAAAACCAAATATTTTAAAGCCAAAAACATTTAATGGTAAGAGAGTCCTATGAACTAGAATCTCTCAGTATTATATGTCCTTGTATGTTCATATGGGAAAGCTATAGAAACAAGGCAGAAAGAAAGAAAACCATGGAGTTTCAAAGTCAGGAACTTTCAAAATTAAAGAAGTTCCTGCAAGATTATTTCCAGGCACTTCTTGTGAAAAGTGCTATAGGCAGAATTCTGTGCAGCTCATGCATGCAATCTTACAGCCAGACCTACTTGCATTTTCAAAAATCTCACTGTTTTAGATTTTTAATAGCACAGTTATAGGTTATTTGGGTTGAAAGCCATGGTGGGAAAGGATTTTGGTGCATTTAAATAAAATTGTTTTCCTTAGAGTGTAGCAAAAGTTTTATATTATTATTATCTTAGAAACCAACGCTGCAGCCTTCTCTATCCTCATGCCTTCCAGGTAGGATGAGGCAGCTTTGACCTATTCTGCCTGGAAATATTTGGGGTCACAGATCAAACACAGCTGAGGACAAACGCTATGCTAGTTGGGAATTCTGAGAATTATTGCCCCAAGTCATTTGGAGGATGTCAGATCGAGAAAAGGCTGCATCACTGAATGGTTATCTGGATAAATGTTATATAATCCAATTCACCATCTTTTTAAGCTTCATTTCTTGTAGCTTTGTGGGGGAACGTTCAGCTCTTCCTTATCTTCTTTATGAAGTCCTTCAACTAGGATTTCCACTGTAGTGCACACACTGCACACAATGTAATTTCCCCATGTTATTTCCTCCCCAACTTGATGACTTTGGTTTTTTTTTTTTAGAGGACAGTTGAGTTTTCAGCATGGATACATAATGATGTGACCCAGCAGTCCTTTGACATCCTTTTATTCCTTTTTCAAAACAACATAAAGCCACTTTCCTCCAAAGCAAACTTTTATTTGCCAAAACAAAAAAAATAAATGAACAGGGGCATGGAGAAGAATGACACAATGGGATTCAGAGCAAAGAAAGGAAACCATGATAAGAGCTAGGAAAGATGCTGATACAAATATTTCCCAGAGTCTTATGTGCCACCTGATCTGGAAATAGTGGGGCAGGTTCCTGAATGATAACCAGCGAGACTCCTTTTGAAGAATAGGTAGGTACAGAAGGCAATCCTGTGACAGGATTCTTTTTGCTTTTCTTAAAATGTTGGTGATGGGGTGTTTTTTTTTAATGCAGTGACAAATTGCACCACTGAAAAATATGAAATCATGCTGAAGATGGAATAATTAATAGTTTTCAAGAATAATCATTACATATTTTTAAAGCACTACACAATAAAATAAGTAATAGAAAAACAAAAATAATGTTTTTTTTTCTTGTATCCAATAGACTTTTGAAAACATTGTTTCTCAAGGTTAAAATATATTCCAAATAGGCAGCATTGCTTCAGAATTATACAAATGCATTTTGAGAAGTTGTGCCACATTCTTTAAGTCACCCAGTAATAAATTCAGTAAACTTGTGGAAAAAGCAAGGGCTATCTATCAGCTCTAGTCTATGCAGTGTTAGACATGCACACAATCTACAAAAAGATGGATTAGGTACTGGCATACTGGTCCTATTTTGAGGACATAACTACTTGTGATGAATTCAACAAATCATAGTGATTTATGTACCGAGTTTTCTAGCACCACCCAGAGATTTGAAGTGGTACTCCAAGCCTGCTAAATCGAGAAGGGTGAAGGATGATTCAACAAAATAACCTAGGACAGAATGCAAGATAGTGATTTTTAAAAGTAAAGAGAAACTTAAAAGGCAGCAGTCAAGTTACACAAAAAGAAGCAAAAATAACAGGTAGAACGTTCTTATGAAAAAGACAACAATTTGATCTTGTAGCAGTGTCTACCTCATTTTAGTTGATGAAAATATATAGAGTTGCTCTAGTTAGTATTTGAATAGGAGAAAACATCAAGAAATGTAAAGTGTTCAATTAGGCTAGGCAATTAAAAAAAAACAATAGCAAGCCACTTCCATACTTTTGTCAAAAGAGCTCTGGATTGAAATGTCCATGAAATTGCTAACGACTGAATTTGTCCTAAAGGAGATTTTACCATTTTACTTATAAATTAAGAGCAATGATCAATGTTTTTGTCACATAACAAATGCAATTAAGACTGCTAGTGCATTTTCAAAGAAAGAAAATAAAGTATTAATAGAAACACAATTTCTGCACAGCTCGAGTCCATCTATAACAGTGATGGTGAACCTTTTCGGCACCAAGTGCCCAAACTGGAATGTGCATGCATGTGCGTGCATGTGCGTGTGCCAGAGCACCAGAAACCTGAAGACCACAGGCGCATGTCTGTTTTTTGGCCATTTTGGGGGCCATTTTCTGGGCTGTTTTCAGGCTGTTTTTTGGGCCGTTTCCCAGCACTCCGGCTCCCACGAAGACCAGAAACCAGAAGTGCAGTTGGCAATGCCACGTATGCCCACAGAGAGGGTTCTATGTGCCACCTCTGGCATGTGTGCCATAGGTTTGCCATCACGGATCTATAATAAGATCCTCCTCCATCAACTGAGGAGGACCTCCTATGTATCCATAAGACCTGATTGGGTGAAAACAGAGGAATTCCTCCAGTTTTTTTATGACATCTAGGAAACAGATGAATAATATCTTTTTTTGTATGACTGATGGAATGGAGTTTCCTCAGAATTTGACTGCAGTGGAAGAGGACATTTATGCTTACGTTTTAAATATAGTAAGCTACCTATAGTTGAAGTCAGATACCAATGTGTACCTCTCCCCTATTTATTAAAATAGCCTAAAACTCACACAGAGACCTGAGAAAAGAGATTGGCTGCTTGAAATGAACAACAGAGGGGGGGAAATCTCTTCAAAGCCAAGTTCATTAGAGGAAAGATAAATCAGTCTTTAAATATTAATTAATAAGCAATACTGACTACTGGATTTTCCTCCCTATACAAAGGCTTTCACAGCTACAACAAAATATATTATTGGTTTCATTGCTTTATCAGAAATTATATTACTTATCTAAATATTTAATTAAATTCATAATTTTAAAAAGCTTGGCTTAAACAAACAGAATGCTATACATAGAAACAGACAAAGCAAATAATACAAATACATACAAATACAAATGAAGTTGGAAAGGAGAAATCAGATGTCCAAATATGAGACCAGTTTCTCATACTGGAAAGTTAAGCATAAAAGAAAGAGGCACCACACATCTGGAGACATATGCAATTAAAGTCTACAAATGCAATTCAGTATGAAAGGAGGTGTCTTCAGTTAAACAACCCATGTATCTATTAGTATACACACACACACACACACACACACAAAGGAGACAGAGTGAGATACCTGGCTTCCAATTTTACCTGCATTATTAACGCTGCTGCTACGATGAAGCGTACTTCCCCAGGACCATCTGTTCAGCTTTTCTTTTGGTTTCTGGCTCCTCTCAATTGTGCGGCGTACAACAGCTTCATGTCTCTCCTAATGAGATAGCAAACTATTACAACTGGCTTGAAGTGACATTGCCTTCATTTCATTCATTTTAATTTAAACTGATAAATGCAATCAATTGCATAAAATGTGCTCATCTTAAGGCAATCCAGTGAGAGGAGACATCAATGAATTCCTATATTCCCACTGTCTGTACTGCCTTGGTCCTAGCTCTTTTTCTACCCAGCTGCAATGAGGAACATTCAAGGAGACCTGTAAATAGCAGAATTCTAATTTCCCAAAAAGAGTGAATGGGCTAACTTATATTGGCATGTGATGGCTAAATTTCACTGGAACCAGAGGTGGGATGCTACTGGTTCTGCCCGGCTCTATAGAACTGGTAGCTCTGAAGAGCAGCAGACATTAAACCAGTTCTGTGTTTGTTGCTGTTTGGCCCACCCACCCGCCCGGGCTCTTACCTATCCTTTATTTCCTGCTTTTTCAACCTCAGTTGCTTTGCGCGACACAGCTGAGGTTGAAAAAGCAGGAAAAGGGGGGCTTTTCAAACGCTGTGCATCTGCGCACAGCGCTTTTCAACTGTCCGGGCGGCACAGCTTAAGGTTTTTTTACACGCACACGCAAAACATAGTCACCAAACCGGTAGTAACACTGGTTGAATCCCACCACTGACTGGAGCCCATTATCTGCCCTGTTTTCACTGCTCCATATAGAAACTTATTGCCCCAAAGATCCTGTAAAGGACTTCTCCTACCTTGTCCTCCTCTATTCGCTGCTTCCGTTTTTCTTCTACTGCAGCTCGCCTTCTTTCTTCCTTTAGCCTCTGCTCTTCTAATTTCTTTTTACGTTCCTCCAGATGTTTTTCATAATGTTGCCTCGCTCTCTCCTCTTTTTCTAGCCAAGCAGCTTCTCTCGCTGCTAAAAGGATATCAAAGGGAATTTCACACATTTGGGGGGATATTCTTCTAGGGCATGAATATTTAACCATGGCATGAATATTTAACTACCAATACCCCCATATTTAAAGAAGTTCACAGCATTCTGGTATTACAGCATTATCATGAGATACGGAATAAATTTTATCAATGGTTGGAAATGGAAGAAGGAACCCAGAATAAAAAATAACTAGGATTCATAGAATGGAGAGTTGAGGTTATGTATGTAATTGTAACTGAATAGAAGAGAAGAGACAAAAGTAAAAAATTAATAATACAGATGAGATTATGATGTCTTTATAAATGTATATACTGGATAGACTAACTGTATAAAGGTAGCAATGTATATATAATATTTATTTGATACTTTAGTATGTAAGGCAAGGACGATGCCAGGATGGTTGCACTGTGTCCAATGTTTTAATGTGTAATTAATAAAATTTATAAATAAATAAATAAACAAGCAAACTGGTGAGACCATAAAACAGAGAAAGTAATTGAAAATGAAGAACTAAAGTGCTCTGGGACTTTGGAATTCAAACCGTCAGGCATCTGTCACATAACATTCCAGACTAACGAGTGTCAATAAAAAAGACAAAAAAAGTCTGGATGGTGGACATGGCAGTACCTAGAGACCGCAGAATAGAAGAGAAAGAACTGGAGAAGATAACAAAATACAAAGACTTGCAAACAGAAATAAAATGACAAAAGAAAATGAAAGTAATACCCTTAGTATTGGGTGCCCTGGGTACAGTCCCCAAACAACTGGCGCACCACTTGAACACCACTGACATTGACAAAAATCACCAATTTTGGTCAATTGCAAATGGCAGCTTTCCTCAGAACAGCTTACATCCTGCAACAATACCTAATACCATCAAACATCAACACCTGCCTAGCCCACGTCCTTGGGAAGGACTCAGTAGTTAGATAAAAATGCCAAATCCAGTCTGAACATCTGGATGACTGTGGACAAATCAGAAATACAATTTCAGTTGCAATTGTAGGTCATAGTTCAACCATATGTTAAAGACATAGCAATGCATCTTTAAAAACCATAATCAGTTGTCATAATTACAGCCCTTGTAAAAAAAAAAATTATTACTGTATTTTATTGAATGTATTTTTAACATGGAGCATAACCTGGAGATGTATTACAAGAGCTTTTAAATATTTCAAATAAACAATCATCAAATAAATGAACAGATGCATGATACTATGACTAAAATCCATTAAATAATTACAGAATTAAATAATCCATTAAATGAGAGCCAGTTTGGTATAATGGT